TTTTTCTTAACCTGTTGAAGCCATGTTGTTGGCTACTAATTAGAATAGCCTTTTATAACTTACCTTAAATCTCACGACTTGTTCCAACCACCCCAGAGTCTGGCGTCAACTGTCATTGCGTGCTGCTCTTTCCAGCCTTTCTGGTTCAACTCTTAGCAAAAGCCATAATCTTCCTCCAGTCTGTTTCCTTTCTGCAATGACAAAATTGCCCAGGGAAAGGAAAAAGAACAGCATCTATCATCTTTCTTTTTAGCTCCCTGGTTTAAGGCTTTCTTTTCCCCCATGATGAAAAACTATAATCATTCTGCTTAGAAAGTACAGACCCCTAAGCCCACTTCCAAGAGAGGGATGGATTTTCAAGTCTGTTATCTCTACTTTCCCAGAGCCCGGGGGTCTCCCAGGCCAGAAGTTGACAGAACTGTCTTCATACACTTGAGACAACATCATGCCCGTTTCCTTAAAACTAAGAACATAAGATGCTGATTTTTCTTACCAAAAAAAAAAACAAAAAACAAAAAAAAAAACCTTTCTTGTTCTTTCAAAAACTGTTTCACTGACAATGTTTCATATTACAAAATTGAAACTTGGAACTTTTGAACTGCAAATTTAGCAGAAAATGAAGCCATGCTCTTGTGGCTTTGCTTGTCACCTCTGCTCAGATGCCTCCCAGACCCCTCTCTAGCTGCAAACTGCACGCAAAACTGTTTCTCTAAAAGAAAACAAACTCCTGTTTTTCCTACTACTGCTACTGCTACTACTATTGCTACACACACACACACACACACACACACACACACAGAGAGAGAGAGAGAGAGAGAGAGAGAAAACACTTCTGACACCAAATGTAGGGTTTTTCTCACACCAAACAATTCTGCAGTTCACTGCAGACACCAGCCGAGTGTCCTACAATCCAATTCTGACACCACCTGCCTGGAGTTAGCAGGTGAAGGACTCAGCCCCACAAGCCTGCCCCCCTCCCCATGCCAGTTGCATGTCCCAGGTCTCCCTTCTAACTGACCAGCGGTAAATCAGGGGTTCCCACGACCTCCTCCTGGGATTTGTAACTTGCTAGAGCAGCTCACAAAACTCAGAGAATCACTTAACATTGACCAATTCATCACCAATGATATTATGAAAGGATGTAAAAGAACAGCCAGAGAAGAGGTGCACAGGGCCCGGGGCCAGGCAGCAGAGCACACTGAGCTTCCATGCCCTCTCAGGGGGCATCACCTCCTGTACCAGAATGTGTTCAACCCCAAAGCTCCCGAACCCTGTAATGTCAGGATTTTTAAGGAGCTTCATTACATAGGCAGTATTGATGAAATCATTGGCCACTGAGTGAACCCCAGACCTTGTGGGGGTGGGGCTGAAAGTTCCAGCCCTCCAAAGATCTGGCACGTTCCTCTGGCACTCAGCCCCCAGCCTCCAGGAGCCACCTCACTAGCATACTCTCAGGTAGGGTTAGAGAGGGCTTGTGATAAATGATGAAGGACATTCTTCTGCCTGCATCGCTAGGGGAATTCCAAGGGTTTTAGGGGCTCAGTGCTAGGAACCCAGGGCAGAAACCAAATACATATTTCTTGTTACAGCAGTGTCACCCCCTCACTCTGCCTAATTTGATGACTAGCTGCCCCATCAGATTATGCCTATTTAAGCCAAGTCCCCGATCCCCATAGCCAACCTCCTCTTCTTCCCAGCCAGCCCACTTCCCGGGCATAATAACTCTTCTGCCCCTGGCTGGAGAGTTGTACTGAGGCTTTCATCCTCCTCCACATGCCACCTGCCAATACTGCTGCCTGTCTTTTGAGGGCTGCTTGAGGTTCACTACCCCTTTCTCCATTACCTCTGTAACCTGGCTAATCCACATCCTCCCCCACCCATGCTCTGTAGCACCAGTGCCTGCCCGGCTCGGCACATGTCCTCATCCCTGCAGCCTCCACCCTGGTCTTCCTGACCCCCACTGCCTCCAGCACCGCTGGTTGCGGACCTGCTCTGGCTCTCTCTGCCCAGCTGGCTGGCCTGCCTCTGTTCCAACCTCCCCTGCCTGGCGTGGTGTTCTGGGCGCCACCTCCGCTCACATCGCCGCTTCACCTGCTTTTGCTATCTGCACTTTCCATGTCCTGCTCCTTCTCCCAGCTGGTGGTGCCTCCGAGAAGAGGAATAAGAACCACCTGTGACCCCCGCAATTTCACGGGCATGGTGGGAGCAAAGGCAGAGGGTGTGAGTTTAGTGGGCATATGCCACTCTTTCAAGAAGTTTTGCTACAAAAAGATGCAAAGGAAGTGAAGAGGGAAGGGGTTTGCAGGGTGGGAGAAATAACAGCATTTTTGTTGTTTGTTGTTGTGACTGTTTTGGGCCAAAACATAACAAACAAGACAGAAGGAAGACCTGATGGAGCATGTCCTTGAGAAGACGAGAGGAGCGGGGTTGGCCTGGTGGGAGATCGGCCTTCCATGTGGGGGTTATGGGGGTTCCTGTCCAGCAGCCTGGGGTTCTGCGGAAGGCAGGCCTGCAGCAGGTGTCAGGTGCTGCGGAGCAGGAGACATCTCTGTTACTTCACCGTCCTCAGTGGGGAGCCATGGCTGAGCCTGAGAAACGGCTTATAGGCTGAAGGCCAGGCAGTGGGAATGGGCAGTGAGGAGGGGAGGACGAGCCGGGTAGAAAGAGTGGTTAGAAACACAGAGGGCCACACGGCCAACGGTCAGGGGACTAGCACACCAGCCAGACCCACCCACGGTGCTGCCTGTGCAGAGACGCTCGGCATCTGAATTTAACCCGGGTCTTGGTTTGACTGAGCCCAACGTGGAGAGAAGGGCCAGGGAGTCACAGAGGGGTGGTGGGCTGGGTGCTGGTTTAGGGGCTAGGACATGGAGGGGTGAAGGCGGGAGGCAATCGCGTCCACTGGGCAGGGGCCCGGGGCTGCTGACAAGGGGAGAGGTGGTAGCTACAGAGGAAGCAGCTCGGGATTCTGCAGTTCCCCGGGGAGAGAGGAGCCCGAGAGACGGGGGGGTGAGGGGGTTGGAAGGGGCACCTGTGGATGTCCTGAGACTTCCAGGAAGTGGGACAAGATCAGTGATGGAGACAGAGACAGCGTCATCAGGGACGAGAGGAATGACAGTAACAGCGAGGTGAAGTGGGCGGCCCTGTCTGGCAGCACGGGGTTTGGAGCTGTCTTGTGGAGGGCAAGGGAACAGGATGCTTTGAGGTGGCAGCCAGGAGCAGGGATGGTTTTGATTGCAAATGGAAAAGGTTTGATGCAGAGTTTCAGGAGCCTTCATGTCTTCCTGGTCTGAAGACCTTTTTTATTTTTACTGGATTGAGGTGATTATCAGAATAGTTAATGGTGTGCTCCGTTCTTATTTCTCTAGTTTTTCTAAGGTCCAGGGACTGCGGGCATCATTATTCCTTCTCCCCGGGGCCAATGACCAGTTAATTCCAACTTTGATGGACTCAGGGCAGGCCACATTATCACGTGTAACTCTACACTGAGAATTATTTTAGAAAGTTAAACTCCTAAAAATGTTTTGTTTTTCCAAATGGTGGCCTCTGGGTCTGCCTTCACCTCTTTTGCAATGATCAGCACTAGGATCTGCTTTCAGAAATGGTTGTGCAGAGCCGGGACTTTCACCAAAGCTTGGCCGCTTGGACAGGACTCACGATGGAGGACGGTCAGGTGTCCCAGGTTTCAGATGCCTGCATCCTCCCGTGGGTGGTGAGGGGCCTGCCTCCTTTATAGCTTTCCACTGCCAGGCTGGCGCCCCTTCCCCTTACCCCCATCTCCTCCAGAGGAAGACCAACTTAATCAAATCTTATCACAACTATAGCTGCCTCCTGGAGAAAGCCTGCCTTCTGTCCCCCTCTTGTCCCTCCCTGCGTGGAGGCAGGCCCTTTGTCCAGTGCCCATGTGGCTCGGTGGGTGGTCTTTCTAAGTCATCAGAGGAGATTAGCGAACACACATGTCCGCTGGCCTAAGGCCCAATCTGCAGGCAGCCTTATGAATAATCAACGTGACTTGTCTCTATAGTTCAATGCCTGTATCTGCCTCTCAGTTGGTATTGAACCTGGGGGAAAAAAAGATGGATTATTCATTGGAAACCTCAAAACCTCCACAGCTGAGCTTTCTTACAAATGCCTGCATGGCCCCCGAGGTATCTTAGCGTTCACCTCCCCGTTTGCACATAGGAAGCCAGTCACGTTACTGGATTCCTGGTGAGTTTGACTTTTCATTCTGTCTTGAATCTCCCTCCCTTCCCCAACCCCGTACCCTACACTACTTCATTCCTTTTTCTTGGGTCTTCCTGATCTCAACCCCTCCGCCTGTCCTCCACGTTGCCTGAAAAGTGAGCCTCCTGACACACGGATCCCCCCATGGCCTCGTCTGCTCAGGTTTCTGAGGTCCCCAGTAACCATGCTCACACTGTGTAATCACGAGTGGTCTGGTCCACACCTCATCACTTCGCGTGCATGTAAATGTTTTAGCGAGTGAGCTCTTGCAATTATTGCCTGCTGAACCCCTCGCCCCTCACTCCCAGTGACCCTGGGCTGCTTTCACGCATGCCGTGGGCCTTCAGACACCCAGGTCTCAGGACCTGAGGGGCTCCTGTGTGCTTTCCGCGAGGAACCGTCTTTCTGCCCACGACTCCATATCACACACCAACATCATGAAGTCCTCCCTAAATGCCCCAAGCCCACTCCGGCTCCCACTTTTCTGTCCATGAAATGTCTGTAACTTCTAGAGTGTCCTGAAGAAGCAAAGACTGTGTCCCTCCATTTTTGTATCCTCAGAACTTAGCCTGATACAGTGAAATGAGTTCACTTCACAACACAGCAAACGAACGTGCAGGTACTTCTGCAGGGAGTGCTGTGGGGATGAGTGCACTGGTTCTGTGGCTCAGCCCTGAGTTGGGGTCAGGAGGCAGGCGCTGGGAAGAGGATTTTGTGTCTTAGGAAGCACAGGAAGGCCTTTCTAGGATCCAGAAAAAATGGAAAGTAGACCAATGTAAGCGTTAAAAGAACACATTTTATCTTTTAAATGTATGTACACAGTACAATTGACTGTTTTGTATACAATTCTATGAGTTTTAACGCATATAGATTAGTGTCACCACTAATTATAAGATTGTAGGGAACTGGGGAAAAAAGGGCGTGCATTAAGGAATGATATGGCATATTTGGGGGACAGAGAACAGGCTTGATGAGGACAGAGTCTATTTAAAAGAGACAGTGGACACTGCAATTGGAGGGGAAGGCAGGGTGGGGTTTTAGAGAACCCCGAGTGCTGGGCTACAGGATTCAATAAAGTTATTAATGAGATTGTCCGCATTGTGAATTCAGAAATATTTATGTCATACCTTGAGGAGGGTGTGAGTAGATTGTGCTGATGACTGCATAACTCTGACTAGACTAAGAACCACTGAGTTGCACCCAGAATTTGCATTACTGAGCGCTTTACCAGTTAGGAAGGTTTCGCGTACTCCATACTTTAAATCTAAGGTGCCTTGACTGTAAGGCCTGCCCGTGTTTCCTGGACGGCTCAGAGGAAGAATGCAGTGAGTGAGAACTACAGCCTTGTAAGACATCCTGTATTGTTGTTGAGATGGGAAAGTGCATCTTAAAACTGTTAGAGAGCCAAGAAGTGACTTTAAAGGGTGAGCTCTACCTAGAGGGAAAAGCAAATGCACTAATTGAAATCCAACCCCCTGGGCTGGAGTAAATGAACCATCAACCACCCATGGGGCTTCCCTTCTTGGTGATGGATAAATAGCTGGGATTCCTTGAAGCTAGAAGCCGCAGGGAAATTCTGTTCTGCTTTGTCAACAACACAGTCTGCCTTAACGGACTTGTAGGTAAATAGATTTGGAGAGTCTGAGCTAAAACCCGTTAAATCAGATGAAGACACAAACGCAAGCACAGGCAATGTGTTTTAAAGCAAAGCTAATGTCCCTTCAGCCTTAACTGACAGACTTTCCTAGCAGTCCTCACCCTCTGCAACCCAGGGCTCCTAGGAGGAGCTCATGGCAGAGAAAGTCCTCTGGCTTCTGCCACTGCCTCCGCAACTTCTATGTACACGTCAGTGTATATCCATGGGTATGAAATGGCCATTTTATGTCACCATTAGCAGAGGAAAGCAGGAACTCTTTCAAACCCCACCCAAAATTCACTCTGACCATCAAGCAGTCCTGTTTATTTTGGAGGCCACTGAACCCTGGAGCAGCCCATAAGCTCCACTTAATCCCCTTTTCTTTCATGATTTCTTTTAAAGAGACATCTTGGGTTCTGAAGGGGAACATTTGTGCTTCATTGAAAAACTCCATTTGAGGCCTGCTCACGGCCTGCCAGCTTATCTGCTTGCAGCCTTCATTGCTAGGGAGCTGTTTTACAACTTCGTAAGTTGTAAAGAGCTGCTGGCGATGCAAACGTGCCTGTCTACGGGCAGGAAATGAATTCTGTCTGGTAGAGGGAATGCTCCCTACCTTGTAGGAAAGCCAACTTTTTTGTCCATTCACAAGTTTATTTCAGTATTTCTCATCTATAAATGTGTTCTTCAGATTGTCCTTTGAACCAGTTATAGCATCTGAGTTAAGTAAAATGAATACACTGTGTTTATTTTATACCTGTATGAAAGCTATGTTTTTTGTTTTTTGTTTTTTTTGAGACGGACTCTCGCTCTGTCACCCAGGCTGGAGTGCACTGGCGCGATCTCGGCTCACTGCAACCTCCTCCTCCCGGGTTCAAGCAATTCTCCTGCCTCAGCTTCCTGAAAGTTATGATTTTTTGAAAAATTATCTTTTAACTGTTTTTAGCTAGAAACTCCTGGGCCAATATATAAATAGATGAGGTTATCTCTGAGGTTCTCATTGAGGTAACAACAAAAATAAAACAGCACGATGCTACCCAGCTATTGTTCCCCAACTTACGCCTGTCCCCTCCACATGTCCTGCATGCACTCCTGTTTCTGGGGTGTGTGCGTGCGTGTGTGTTTGCGTGTGTGTGTAAAGGTTTGCAGTGAAATTATAATCATTGGTTTTTTGTTGGGGATGGGGAGTTGTTTTGTTTTGAGACAGGGTCTCACTCTGTCACCCAGGCTGGAGTGCAGTGTCACAATCACAGTTCACTGCAGCCTCAACGTCCTGGGCTCAACTGATCCTCCCACCTCAGCCTCCCAAGTAGCGGGAGCTATAGGCATGTGACACCACGCCGGTCTTGCTTATCTATCTATCTATCTAGATAGATAGGGTCTCCCTACGTTGCCCAGGCTGGTCTCAAACTCCTGGACTTAAGCAATCCAACTGCCTCAGCCTCCCAAAGTGCTGGGATTACAGCTGTTAGCCACTTTGCCCAGCTAAAATTAGAGTTTAGAGCACATTGCTGTAAATTGCGATTACCAAGGGGATTGAAAAATCAATGAAAATAATCAACAGCAAGTTGACTTCAGAATCTGTGCCTTTGAGGCTTTTCCCCTTAATCTCCAGGTAACACATAGGCTCCCTGGCGAGAGCCAGTGGTGACACAGTGAGAACACCGTCTGCTGCATCTAATGTTTACAGCTTGTAATTCACAACTAACTTTTAAAAATGTACCAGTGTTGGGGAAATGGTGCTTTGCTGGATAGGAAAATTGGCCAAGATCAGAATTCTGAAGGCAATGTCATGGCACAAAGAAACTAGCTACTGAAATCACATCCTAAACATCCAAGAGGTTGACTTCCTTTTCTACTGCATTAGAAAAAGGTTTATTTACTGTTTATCCATACAGTAAGATAGAGATTTGATCTCATTTTTTGGTTAAGAACAACCATATCAAAGTGTGTGTGTGTGTGTGCATTTTACAGAATTTTTAAAAATACACAGAGAACTCTTCACAGTTGTTAACTCTGGTAAATGGCAGGGGAGGCAGGGGTGAGAACTGATCTATTATTCATAGTCTCAACGATGAACAAGATATTTCCAAAAATAGGCGGATTATTTAAAATTATTATTATTAGGATACTTTGGGCTTCTAGAAACAAAAACTTAACAAAAAAGTCACTTAAAGAATTTAGGTTTGTTTTTTTTTCTGACATAAAAACAAAATAAAGGATGATTTCAGTTTGGTCCATCAGTAACTTAGAAGTGTTTTTCAGGACCCAGAGCTTTCCGCCTTCCCACTGGGCCATTTTCAGCGTGTCCCGTGGCCTCTGGGGGCTTCAGTGATCCAGGCATCACATTAGACGTGACAGTGCCAAGCAAAGAAGAGAAGTATTTCTGCTTATGCATCTGTTTATAATAGTGAGAAAAACTCCCTCAGAATCCCACCAGCGATTGATTCTCAGGTCGCACTGGCCAGGATTGAGGCCAGCTGTGCCATGCTTAGCTCAGTCATTTGCATTGTGATCACCGTGATTAGCTTGAACCAATCCTGGGACTTCTCCTTGGGCTTGAACACATGGCCAGGTGGAGGTTGGTGCCCCCAGAAAAAGTCTTTGTTCTGCCAACAAAGAAGACACAGACAACAGTGTCTAACAGGAAAAGTCCCTTTTTACTTTATACCCTTCCGTAGTATTGCTTCAACAATCAAATACTTTATTTTATTTTATTTTTTGAGATACAGTCCTACTGTGTCACCCCGGCTGGAGCACAGTGATACCATGTCTACTCACTGCAACCTCTGCCTCCTGGATTCAAGCGATTCTCCTGCCTCAGCCTCCTGAGTAGCTGGGATTACAGACGCCCACCAAAATGCCCAGCTAGTTTTTGTATTTTTAGTAGAGATGGGGTTTCTCCATGTTGGTCAGACCAGTCTCGAACTCCTGACCTCAAGTGATCCATTCACCTTGGCCTCCCAAAGTGCTAGGATTATGCTGGGATTACAGGCGTGAGCTACCGCTCCTGGCCTTTTTTTTTCTTTCATAGAGTTTTGCTCGTTGCCCAGGCTGGAGTGCAGTGGCATGATCTCAGCTCACTGCAAGCTCCACCTCCCAGGTTCACACCATTCTCCTGCCTCAGCTTCCTGAGTAACTGGGACTACAGGTGCCCACCACGACACCCGGCTAATTTTTTGTATTTTTAGTAGAGATGGGGTTTCGCTGTGTTAGCCAGGATGGTTTTGATCTCCTGACCTCATGATCCACCCACCTCAGCCTCCCAAAGTGCTGGGATTACAGGCGTGAGCCACCACACCCGGCCCCACGCCTGGCTAATTTTTTGTATTTTTAGTAGAGACAGAGTTTCACCGTGTTAGCCAGGATGATCTTGATCTCCTGACCTTGTGATCTGCCCACCTCAGCCTCCCAAAGTGCTGGGATTACAGGCGTGAGCCACCACGCCTGGCCAAATACTTTCATAGTTAACTTTTTGAATGTGTGTGTGTCCTACTTTAAGATGAAAGATATTCTTTCTTGGTCCTGTTTCCATGCAGCTTGGCCCCGTGATTCTAGGGACCATGGCTTTTTCTCGCAGTGTGACTCACAGTTTGCCAAAGCAAATCTCTTGTCTTGCATCAGCTCAGTCTCTTTGTCTGCAAATTAAATCAATAGCCTTTTTTACAGCCTATCTCCCAGGACATATTGCTAAAAATACTCACAAAGTCACCATCCAGGAAGAATCATTTGCCCCTGCTGCCACTGTCTCCTGGAAGTCACATGAAAGTTGCTGAGGCTCGGTATTTATTATGCTGTAAAATTCAACACAAGGGAAGAGAAAAAGCAAATTCCATGAGCAGATTTAAGTGTATTGGATCTAATCCATTGATGCTGCAGCTATATTTTCACAGTAGGATCCTCTTTTGTTAAATATTACAGTAGTACGAAAACCTAGCAGAAAAACAGTTCACCGTTTCTCTGATTTTGTGAGCGATGTGGGCTGTGGAACTTACTCTTTGCTGCTCTTCCCCCAACTCCACCCTACCCCTACCTCCAAGTAAAGTACCCCTACCTCCAAGGTCAGCCTTGTCTGCTGCCCCTGACTAAGATGACCCCAACCTCACTGCACCCCAGGTTATACTCCTCTGAGAAGGCCCCTTCATCCCTCCCCTCACATACATGCCCTCAAATCTCTAATTTGTGTGAACCATTAATTTCAGATATTACAGGGAAAATATGCAAAACAAAATGTGGATGGCACATAACCCACAGCATCTCTCAGAGGGTGTTTATACTCAAAAAGAAGTCTTTACCAACCCATAGTTAGGAAAATGCGTGTTCAGAATAACTGGGCCTTCCCGCAGTCCTCTGGGTCAACCAGATGACCACACATTGCCAGAATGAGAAGCAGAGCAGCTTCACATCCCTGTTTCTGAAATGTTTCCCAACAGCTCATTGAAACAACCTCGAGACACCTCTCTCCCACAAACCCAGTGTGTTTTGGGAACGGCTCTAGGAATTCTCCTTCTGCATTGCCTCACTGTCCCTTTCCCCGTCCAAACCATGGTATTGGATTTACAGCATTTCTTAGATTCTATAAAAGTCCTTTTCTGCCAAGAGCCTGGAGCACGCTGGATTGAATGACTCCCTTCCAGCACAGCCGGCATTTGCAGTGCATTAGAATCTTGCCGTCACTTGCACACATCACCAAGTTACTTTAGCCGGAGTTCAGCCTAGCTACGGCTCGGCTCTGCTCTGCTAACAGTTGCTTTTCAATATTTTGTTTGAGGATTTGTAGTAATTCAAAGGCCTACACTTTTTTTTTTCCTAATTTATTTCCTTGGAGTTTTACTCATGGATACTTCAGAAAATGTCAGTTTTATGTCATTAATGTCACATCTTCTCTGGGTTCTCAGAATTCGAAATTCACAGGAGCATGGCAGCCTTACATTCAGTCTATTCTTTTCCTAAAAAAGGAAGCAAACCGCAACAGTTCACCTACGCTATGGAGACTGAAGTGCTCCCACCTCTGAAATTCTCTCTGTCTGCCCCACAGCTGTGCCGAAGGGAGTGCCACTTGTCTGCAGGGCCGTACCGCGGAACCCTCTTTGCCGACCAGCCAGTGATGTTTGTCTCGCCTGCCAGCAGCCCCCCCGTGGCCAAGCTCTGTGAACTAGTCCACCTGTGCGGAGGCCGGGTCAGCCAAGTCCCCCGCCAGGCCAGCATCGTCATCGGGCCCTACAGCGGAAAGAAGAAAGCAACAGTCAAGTATCTGTCGGAGAAATGGGTCTTAGGTAAGAATCTAGGCACAGAGACACTGTTGTGTGGTCCAGATCTATGAACAGGTTTCCAGGGAGGGCGGCGTCACGCTCACACGCCCTTCCACGCAGCTGGGGCACCTGGGTTGATGTCTCAGCCTCCAGCATCTGCCCTGGCAGCGTCATGTGGTCACCCTCGGCATTCCCACTCCTTGCTGTCAGCAGAAGCACAGTTCACAAGGAAATGGGAACTCTAACTGGACTCCCCACTTGACTTTCCTGGCTCATGTGAAAAACCCAGTCCACCCAAAGCCACCCCAAGCCACCCCTGTGGACACAGGCTCTCCAGGCACCCACTTAGACCCTCCCTCCCCAGTGCCTCCTTGTCCTACTTCAAGAGTCCCTGGCAGCGCCCGGCGTTAGGGCCCAAGCCCCCGTTCCTGTCATCCCCTCTCCCAGGCACATCTCATGATCACTCCGTCTGCTCATGTGCTCGAAGGGCGTTAAAGACGTAAAAGGACTCCATCTTTTATTTCACAAAGTGAGCACAGTGTGACCGTAATGTCCCGCTCTGGTATTCATGGAGTTGCGCCAGGTGCTGTGTGCAGTTCTGGGGAGGAAGAGGTGGTAGGAGCTGAGCTGTGACCGGAGGAGGCTGGATCCACGCCATGCTCACACGTGGGCTCCGGGAGGCTTGCAGCTGATCCCCGGAGAAGGGGGTTGAGGAAGAGTGTGAAGCAAGGATGGCCTAGGGAATGTGGAGGAGGCAGGGGCAGCATCTGTGCCACAACTTACGCACCCTGTGGTGGAGTCACGTGTGGCAGGACAAGCCTAGGGCTCCACTGTGGGTAAACCCCACATCCTCCTCCACAGGGTTGTGATAAACATGTTAGTTTGCTTGGGCTGCCATCACAAAATACTACAGGCTGGGTGGCTTCAACAACACACACTGTTTGTCAGTTCTGGAGGCTGGAGGTCTAAGAGCGGGTATCGGCAGCGTTGGTTTCTCCCGAGCTTGCAGACGGCTGCCTTCTTCCTGTGATCTCACGTGGCCTTTCCTCCACGCACACACATCTCTGGTGTCTCTGTGTGTCCAAATTTTCTCTTCTCTAAGGATACCAATCAGATCGGTTAGGGCTCACCCAGTGGCATAGTTTTATTTGCTTTTATTTATTTTTTTGAGATAGCATCTCGCTGTGTCACCCAGGCTGGAGTGCAGTAGCATGATCACGGCTCACTGCAGCCTCAACCTCTCTGGCTCAAGTGATTCTCCTGCCTCAGCCTCCCAAGTAGCTGGAACTACAGGTGCATGCCACCACGCCCAGCTTTTTTTTTTTTTTTTTTTTCTGTAGAGATGGGGTTTCCCCGTGTTGCCCAGTATGGTCTCAAACTCCAGGGCTCAAGCGATCCTCCTGCTTTGGCTTCCCAAAATGCTGGCATTACGGGTGTGAGCCACTGCACCCAGCCCCAGTGGCATCATTTTAACTTGTCTTATTCAAGGCGCCATCTCCAAATACAGTCTCATCCTGAGTTACTGAGGGTTAAGACATCGACCTATGAATTTTGGCCAGACACAATTCAGCCCATAACAATGAATCACTCCAGTTTCAGCACCTGGGGCCAAGATCCTTACCTGGCTTTAGAGGTGCATCCTCTCTCCCCCATTCTCTCATTCTTTTTCTCTCTCTTTGCTTCCATCTCTTTCCATGTTTCTTATTCAGTCTCCTTTCTTAGTACTTCTGCTTGTCTCTAAATCCTAAACTTCTGGCTTTTCTCACCCCCTGCTAAACATTATCCTTTAATAGACAAGTAGATACTGTGTTTGTCCGAGTTACATTCATAGCTAACTATGGACATTTTACAAACATCTCTTACATGATTGATGGTCATCCTTTCATATATTTTAAAAGCGTGGCAATCAAAAGTAATTTTTTACTCTGGCGCAGAGTAATTCATCTTTTGCCTGGAAACTAACTTCCAAAAAAAAAAAAAAAACTATGATTTTAGCTACAGTCCAAAAGCTAAGAGGCTGTTTACTGTTTTCTAAATGCCAAGAATATAACCTTCAAAACATCCTATGTTCTGAAACAGAGGCTGTTGTTTTGTTTTTTTGGAAAAGTGTATTATCAAAATTCCATTGACTGCAGAACAGAACTGGGCCTGAAGGCGTGTCTGGCCAGCAGACGGAACTGTGCACGCGATTGATATCCACGGTGCCTACCAACAGGCAGTCTTTTTGGAGTTTGGAAAGCGTGTGCCGTGCAGGGCCGAGCCTGCCTCTGTTTCCAGGTTGGGTGGCTCTGACGGCTCCTTCCTGTGGCTCCTGCATCCTTGTGTGGAGTCACGCTTGCTCGGCGGCTGCTCACTTCCTCCGGTTGTTTTGCGCTCGGCTCTCCCGCCCGTGGGTTTTCAGGAGGTGAATGTCTATCTGCTTAACCCCAACGCTTCGTTCCCACAAAGTCCTTCAGAGTTCTCTGACTTCCAGGGCTGGGCCACAGGCCCCAGCCTCTTTTTCTTTCCTCCTGTAACGTGTGTCCTGTTTCTGATTTCTCACCAATTATGCCATCTGCGTGTGCCCTTGGTAACATCTGGGTATTGTGTGTGCTGCAGACTTCACCCATGTCAGACGAGTCCCCTCACTCGCCGGCCACCGGACCCCAGTGTAGTGGGCATCTCCAGTACCAGGCCTCTCCAGCCCACACTCTCTGGGATGTAAGATCACATAGTTTGCAAGTATTTATTGGCTTGTTATTTTTCTTTTTGTGAATTGAATTCCAATCCAGTAGCTGCAGCTATGTACAAATAAAGGAGGGTTTATTTTTCTGTCTGTACATACTTCTGGCCTTTCTCACCCTCTGCTAAACATTATCCTTTAACAGACAAGTAGATTTTTTGTATTTTTCTCTTTGTGAATTGAATTCCAATCCAGTAGCTGCAGCTATGTACAAATAAAGGAAGGTTTATTTTTCTGTCCATACATACACTTGTAAACCTACAGAACACACGGTCCAGGGCATTGCATTTCCTGCCTCATCCAGGTCCAGGTTGGCCATTTGCTTATTCTCTAACCAGAAGCAAATCATATACTTTTCTTTTTTTTTTTTTTCTTCCTGAGATGGAGTCTCGCTCTGTCACCAGGCTGGAGTGTGCAGTGGCAAGATCTCAACTCACTGCAACCTCCACATCCTGGATTCAAGTGATCCTCCTGCCTCAGCCTTCCCAGTAGCAGCACCTGCCACCATGCCTAGGTAATTTTTTTATTTTTAGTAGAGGTGAGGTTTCACCATGTTGGCCAGGCTGGTCTCAAACTCCCAACCTCAAGTGATCCTCCTGCCTCAGCCTCCCAAAGTGCTGGGATTACAGGCGTGAGCCACTGTGCCTGGCTGAAATCACCTATTTTCTGTGGAATGCATTTACTTCATGTATAAAACAGAGTGATAACCTCTACCTTGCTTACCCCACATGTTGGTTAAAGGAGAAAACACAGAGAGTGCAAATGCCCTGTGGCAGACATAGGCTCGTTAAGTATGGCAGATAGACAGTATCCACGAACGTGTCCTCATCCCTTCAACAAAGCACATTGTGTCTTTTGGAGACTTTTTTTCCTCCCATTGATTTCCATTATAACAAATGCTTCTCTGGACAATATTTCATTCTCAAAATATCGCAATATTGAAAAACTAGGAATATATCAAACCATTTTAAAGCATCAAATTGAAAGAAAAAGTTATTTTAAGTTAAATTATGAAAAGACAATACTCAAAAAAAATCAATTAAATTTATTCAAACTGGAATATCAACTGCTGTGTAAGATAGGGTCCCTGGGCATCTAAGAGTAATTTGAGCCAGGCATGGTGGCCCATGCCTGTTGTCCTAGCTACATGGGAGCTTGGCTTGAGCCCAGAAGTTCAAGGCTGCGGTGAGCTATGATCCCACTGCTGTACTCCAGCGTAGGCAACAGAGCAAGACCCCATCTCTAAAAAGGAAAAAAAAGAATCATTTTTCAGTACCTTCATATTGTTTCTGTATCTTACAGTCTTGTTTTGCAGACGTCGTAAAGTCACAGGGGGTGGAGAACCAGGCATTTTTTTTTAGCCACTAGGAACCTCTCTGAGAAGTTTCTTTTCTTTTCCTTTCTTTATTATTAGTTTTTTTTGGCCAGAGGAGTGAAAGGAAGGTAGGCACTAAAACCACAGCCCTTCCCCTGGGACTGCAGCATCCTAGCGCCACCATCCTCCCACAAGCCTTTTGTTCCTGCATGGTCTGTATCTCAAGACCAACAACTCCGTATCTACGAACATAAAAACTGTTAGTGAATATTTTACTTGTAAGAATTTCTTTCGACCTCAGCTCTGAGGTGACCCTCAGCTCGCCCACCACCCCAGCTGCCCTACCTTGCTGGCATAGAACAGGGGGTGGAGGTGTGAAGTCACCAAACAGGGCTCAGCATACAGAATGTAAGCCGCGCCTCACTCACTCGCTCCCTAGAGAATTTCATCCGCGCCGCATTGCCTAATAACGGGGTTATCGGAAAGGTCATGATTACGTTCCCTATTCATTCCCTGGAGTCTTTTTTTCCCTGAAACTGTATTGTACTTGGGCCAAGATTCTTGATGAATCATTCAACCAGAAGGAGAAATGGGGTTGTTGTTGGTTTTTTTTTTTTTTTTTCTTTTTGAGAGAGAGCACATTTGTGGGTGGTTGAATATGCAAAAAAATAAACAGGAAAACAAAAATGAAATTCCCGGCCCTAGGAAATAAAATGTTACCTTTACCTGATATTGGTAACATATTTGAAAGCATTTGCTAATGATTGCATTTTCCCCCCAACACTCCCATGACATATAATTCCCATTTTACAAGTCACGAAACGAAGACCCTGGGGTCTGAAGGAACTCGGCTGGGGTGAGGATGTTAGCCCTTGGGTGGAGCTCTGAGCCCCGGCACGGTCCTCAAGGGTCTGTGACATTTGTGCTGTGCTCAGCTCTGTGCACTCTTCCCTCCCTGCTGCTGTTATCACGAAAGGCTGGCTTGGC